CTTCTATGGCTCTTCCGTTCGACAATCTCTCCGGCATTGGAACCATCATCTGTTTTCTCTTCGGTCACGCTCTCGGTTGATTTTTCCCTAGTCGGCACACTCATTTCCTCCATTACCCAGGGTGGCACGGCGGCGGCTGGCTGCTTCCCAGACAAATACACATGAGCAGCTTGGCACTTGTGCTGTACATAACAAGTTACATGACGTGACGCTGCAGCTGTGATTGGTTCGGCTCTGCGCTACATAATTTGGATTGTCTGTTCTTTTTTTCTTTTTTTTAAGAGGACAAGAGCGGTGAGGTCTATCGCAATAGTTAAAAGTTTCTATCGAGAAAAAGTTATTTCGCAATACATATCGTTATCGTTCTATCGCCCAGCTCTAGTCCTCAGTCAGCAGATGCTCCTCTGGTTCAGACTCCTTAATAAACTGTAGTGACAGCTGTCATAGCTCAGGACCAGATTTTAACATCTAAGGGAAGATAAAGGGTGTGCCCAGAATATAGAGCAGTTTTTCTCTTTCAGATACTCTTGACTTCCATTGAATGTGTTTTTCCACATATATGTAAGTTAATTGTAACTTTTTTTTTAGCTATTCTTTCGCCTTTGACACCTCCGGATCCAATGAACTTCACAGAGCATGTAAGTGAGCCAGTTTAAATCATAAAATCACAAAGAGACAAATTTTTATTTTGTTTGTTTGTTTTGTGGTTTTTTTGTTTTTGGTTTGGTTTTATTTTTAAGTCGTGTCTATTTTTTGTTTCATATATTTTTTCCAGTTTAGCAAACTGAATTTTCTGGGCAGTGAAGAACTGTTTAATTTCTAATCAGCATTAAAGGGAACGAACAGTCCCAGATGACTCATGTTAACAAACATTCATCTTTTCTTTGTGTTTAGATGAATAATTTTTTCATGGATCACTCCCTGGACGCCTTCGGCTGCATGAGCAACGTTCTGTCTGAACACTTCTCCTTTAAGCTAAAAGGGCAAAAAGAGGTGGGTGTCGTCACAATAGGGTTAAATTACTTCAGATGTGATCAAAATCACACCCTGATTTTATGGACATTTAATGTGGTGTCTCATTTGAGCATTTAATTATTTATTTATTTTATCAGCCCAAAAGAACACAGTGAACAAATTATGACTCTTCCTTTGAAAAGGTACTGTAGTTGCTGTTTTCCTTGCCGCTGATTGAGTGGATATCATTCAACTCGATTTGTGTTTATACACACTCCAAAACCACAATCTTGGGTGAGGTGGAGGGCCACTCCATCCAGCAGGTGGATTTCATGCAGTTGGCAAACTCACTGAGGCTGTGGAGCAGAATATGGATTACCAGCTGCAGTACAGGATGAATGATTCACTGAAGAAGATGGATAATACAGCACAAATAGAACCTTAATGTAAAGGCAGTTTAGTTTCAAATTATTTGCATTGTTTGGCTCCAGATATTAATCTGGTCTTTAAGATATTTAACAGAAGCAACCAAAAGCCACACTTTAACAGAGTGCCAGAAGACAGAGGTGAAAGAGGTTTACAGCATTTTTGGGACTGATGCCATTTACAGCAGAAGACAGGTGAAAAAGAGGAAATGCACAAAGGCTCAGAAATCAACATCCAGTGAAATGTAAACAAACTGGAGCCACAGACTTAAAATGTTTGTTTTCTGGTCCTAAACATTGTTCACTTTTGTATAAATGTTCTAAGAATAAAATTATTGCTTGGAGCCAGATACCATGCACACCTTTCTCAACTCTTTAAGTCATTGCCAGAATTGATCCACTCAGTCAGGATGTATTCGTTAGCAAGCATCATTGTTGGGCTATAGTAACAATGCAGCTTTTATGGTGTTGATTGCAGTGCTGACTATCGCCAAAAGGTGGAGCCTTGTTCTTTTTGTTGTGTTGGATCTTGAGCTGAGAGTTTCAAGCAAACATTAACAACAGATTTTGTTTAACGTAAACACTTGTATATAAACACAGAAGAAAGCCGTGCAGTCGTTGGTCATCAGATTTCTGTTTGATTGCAGAAGTATTTTAAAGATGCAGTGAGGATGGGGAGGGTGACCTACTTCCTGGATTTGCTGAAGGTTAAAATGTGAGTTGAGTTGATTGGTTGAAATTCTTGGATGTCGCAGCTTTATTTTAGTTTTATTTTAATCACGTTTACCCCTCCCCACGCAGGTGCGAGCAGAAGTATCCCTGCCGGAAGCTGGCCCGGCACAGCTGCCAGCTGTATGACGTGGTGCACTCCATCCCTCCAGAGCTGCTCGGCTCACTGCTGTACGATGAGCTGGCGGAGCAGAGGGACCGCCTGCTGTTCTCCGAAGGAACCACAGGGGGTGCTCTGAGTTTCGTTCCCTTTTCACAGAGTGATGGTGGCTCTCAGCATGGCTGCCTCCTCTATCCTGGAAACCCTGCACTGAATACCCTCAGTATCCTTGAGTTTGGATTTAGGAAGCTTCTAAAGCAGCGCTGTCAGAAATATTTTGGGTCCACAATGATCTTAAAACCATTTTTTTTAAAAAAACCTCTTTCACTTTTAAAGTACTCACTGGG